ACGCGATGCTTGGTCTCCATGGGCTCACGTCCGCAAACCACTCCCAGGTGAGAAGCTTGCAGTGGGAGGTGCGTGCGATGGTGGTGCTTTGGCTTGCACGCAGCGCGGCCGTAATTGGCGCACACCACTCCCTCACCTGAAGCCGAAGCTGCAGAAGGAGGCCGGTCCACCAGCTGCCGCTTGTCATCCGTAAGGTCGACAGTGCAGATCCCTCAGCAGGCTCTGCAGGCCGCCCTTCATGCGGCTCAGAGGGCGGCTCTGCAGGCTGCTCTGCAGGCAGCGCTGCAGCTGGCGCGTCCTCAGCGTCCACTGCCGCGGCTGCGGCGCAGTGGGCTGGCGCGCGTGCCCCTCTCCGCGCCTTTTTGCGGCGCTTGTGTGTTTCAGTTGGCTCAAATATATATATATATATATATATATACAAAAAATGAATATATATATATATATTCCTTTTTTTGGTCGGGTTTTGATGCAGGTCGGATTTTGCTGCAGAAGCCCCGCCGAAAACAGTAACGTGCCGCGACGTGCCGAGACGTGCCGAGACGTGCCGCGATGTGCCGCGGTTTGCCCGGAGCGTTGTTTTTGGACCTGCCGCGGCCAAGTTTGCTTGACAACAGTAGAGGCACATCATTTTTTGGGGTCCCCGCGGAACGTGCCGCGACGTGCCGCGACGTGCCGCGACGTGCCGCGTGTTTTCTGCAGAGCAGCCCGTGTTCAGAAAAATCCTGAGACTAGAAAATTGCAAACGGAGTCAAAAAAAGTCCTGGCTAGAAGAAATTTGTCGCAGCCGAAAGGGGGAAGGTGGAAGGCAAAATGAACTACTTCGCAGAACAAAGCAAGCAGATTACACCAAAGCTTCGTGCAGCATGTGCTGCGTGGAAGGCCCCGTGGAACCAGTAAGCCTTCGTGTGAGCTTTGTGTCTTTGGGCACCCAGGGCTTCTTACATTTGGCTGGGCTAGTTTTCTCCAGGCCAGTTTTTTGGGCAGCTGCTTCTGCTGAACCCGGTTGCGCGCCAAGTTTCATGGTAAGCATACCTGCAGCGGGCTGCTGCAGCTAGAAGCTGGCTCTGCAGACTCGTCTGCTGGCGGATTTTTTCACGGGAGCCTTGACTTCACATCACAGCCATCACTACAAGAAATGGAACCTTCGCGTTTCCACGGCGAGCATTTCAGCAGCAGGGTTTTTCCCATGGGAGCCTTCATTCACTTCACAGCCATGTCTGTCGAACGGACGCAGGTTTCCACGGCGAGCATGCCAGTGGGATCTTTTCGTGGGAGCCTTGTGACACATGTGGGTTTCCACGGCGAGCATTTCAGCAGCAGTGGGAGCCTGCGCTTCACATGTGATGTCTGTAGAATGGCACGCAGGGGTTTCCACGCTAGGCCTTTCAGCAGCAGGATTTTTTCATGGGAGCCTTCGCTTCACAGTGCAATAAAACATTCAGCAGCATTTTTTCATGGGAGCCTTCACTTCGCATGTGGTGTCTCAGGCGCTTCCACGGCGACCGCTTCAGCAGCAGGATATTTTCATGGGAGCCTTCGCTTCACATGTGATGTCTATACTAGTCTTTATGCAACGAAGGGTTTCCACGCCGAGCATTTCAGCAGCAAGACTTTTCCTGGGAGCCTTTTCACCTCACGCACAAACATGTTTGGAATAAAAGTGGCGAGACACGTGGGAATTCGCCGCAGATACTCAACAAACACACATGCAAAAAACAATTCGAATGACCGGCCGCCCAATCAAGCACTCTTGCGAAGCGCAGGCTGCATGGACTCCTGCTTGCCAAAAACTCGCCGCAGAAGTCCGCAGTAGCAGGCCAGACCGCCCGCCTGAAACCTGGCCACAATTCAGAGGCCCGTCGCCCAAAAAAACACCGAGAAAGCGACTAGCATGAGCGCAGAATCCCTCTGCCGCTTTTTCCGCGAGATGCGCGACCCTGCGGCGGCGCCGCGTTACTTCTGCAGGTGTTTTCATGCGTGCACAAATTTTACGAGCTGCACATTTTACATGCGGTTAATACAAAACTCAATAAAGCGCTGCGATTTCCGTTTTTTGTCGCTTCTGCAAAAACACGTCTAAACAGTTATTTCTAGTTATTTTAAGTAAGTTGTCCTTTTTTAGTTATTTACAGTTAGTTCTAGGTATCTTAGATACACAACTGCTACAAGTCCCCTTATACCAATTAACGAGACCACGTTGTAACTTTACTGCAGTCAGCAAGTCGGGCTCTTTATCCTCTATTCAAGAGAATATGAGCTACCAGGCCTTTCAAATGGCAGGCGGGTTGCATCATTGAGTGGAATACTGTGAATAAGTGCAGAACAAACGAGAAACACCCGTTCCGCATCTAATCAATACAAAGCAAAGCCGGAACTTGTCCTTGCTCAAGGATATTGATATTGGTCACCATAGGATTGAAGAACAGTCTCAAAGTCCAGTCAACCCTGGAGGTTTGACCGTTGTCGACTTGCTGAATCTCACTGCATATATACCAACTGCTCACACAACCCTTGTCAAGAATGGCAGGGTTGGATTGTCGGCCTGATTGATAGCGGGCGCCATGAGTTTGCTCGATTTGGTGTTGCGCACGGAATCATGTCGTAATTTTGGGTGGCCGTACTTGTGCTAGCGCCAACTTCTACGGTTGATTCGGGTAGATACGCCCTGTAACCATGGTTTTGGCTCAAATTCTGAAGACTTTGGCCCCAATCATCCTGGTAAGGCTCTGCCGATATGGCTGTGAGCCACGACGAAGGCCCTTGCCGACATTCTTGTCTTTTATCCTTGGATTTGCTTTAGGGTTTTCCTTTTCTTTCTTGGTACAAAGGTTGCTAGGATTGATCGGTGGTGGAATCATCGGCCATTTTGGCCTTGCCGCCTGCTTGTGATTTCTGGAGAGGTTGAAAGTGGCCTCTTTTGCATTTTCTGCCTTTCGCCCCTTGCCGGACTTGAGAGTCCGACGTTGGAATCTTTTAAGAACAAAAAGCAGCATGGTCTTCCAACTGCCAAAGGGCTTCTTCAATGGACGAAAGCCGTGCTCAAGGATGAATGAAGAAGGATAGGATCCTGAAGAGAGGTTCTTGTTGTGATGAAAAGGTCGCAGTACTGGGCCTTAATGATCTCCTATGTGTACTGATGTATGATGAAGAGCAGTGTCAGAATGTTGTCCGACAGTGGAAAAGCTTGTGAATTCTCTTGTTTCTTACCTCGGACATTTCTCTCAAAGCTTGGCGCTACGGGGTGCTGCGGCTCCTTGCCGCAGACCCTGGCCATGGTTGTTAATTCAACTGTGCTCTGATTCGCGTCACGGATAGCCTGAATACACTCAGGTCTTGGGAACCTCGAATTGTGTGATAAAGGTCACGAATTCGTTGTCACCCCAGCAATGATTGCGGAACCTGTGCAGGAATACATTCTGTGTGCCCTTCAAGAAATATCCGCAAAGAAAGTTGAGAAGTACTCTACTCCAGTAGTTGGACCTATGAGTTTCTCGTTGTCTAAGAGATCGCGCGGTATCTTGCTGCGTCTTGTACGAGACTGTTCTTGAGAAGCGGGCCTTGTCGCGCAGGTGCAGGTTCTATAACCCTGTGAATGTAATCCAGCCCCTGACCAGATCTTCATAGCGAAGCCAACTAACACGGCCGTCGTACGATAGAGGCAATATTGCGTTCATCAGAAGGTTAATCGTCTCTTCATGGGAACTCGCGCCGCCATGACGGCTTCCAAGGAAAGCCGCTGCGGGTGGTTCTGTTCCACTTAAGTCCTCTTCACTCAACATCCTGCCTTTCGGAGAACCTGCTCCACTACCAGAATTGAGGTTGTAAATGGAGGACCCAAGTGGCCCCGGAATGAGCACCACGTAGGTCCTTGGTGGATCTACTCCGATGCAGAATGTAAATATGTATGTAAGAGCTAAAGGACCAGAATGTGTGTAAGTAGCGTTTGGTTCCCCATAGGAACAAGTTATGACTGTACTACCGTCATCAACGGGCTTGTATCCTCTATTCAAAAAGATTATGAGCTCCCAGGCCTTGCGCGTGGCAGGCGGATTGCATCATGAGTGGAATACTGTGAATCAAGCGAGAACCCTGCCCTTCCCCCGGGTGTGGAGCTGGATTCTGTGGCAGGCGCAGCGCTTTGGTCGATTGCGCGGCGTTGCAACACCTGGGTCGTTGCGTGCTCCGGTGCTCCAAAAACCGCGCCCGAGAACCAAGTTGGCGCGCGAATTTCTTTGGCGCTGAATTATGTGGCAAGCGCAGTACTTTGAGCGATTGCGTGCTCCTGTGAGACCAGAGTTGGTGAGTCCAAAATTGCGCACCCTCCGTTCCGAGCGTGAGCGTGTGAGAGAACTCACTCACTCACTCACTCACTCACTCACTCACTCACTCACTCACTCACTCACTCACTCACTCACTCACTCACTCACTCCCTCACTCACTCACTCACTCACTCACTCACTCACTCACTCACTCACTCCCTTACGTATGTGAGTGAGTGAGTGAGTGAGTGAGTGAGTGAGTGAGTGAGTGAGTGAGTGAGCGGGCGCATTGAATGAGTGAGTGAGCTGAAATCGCGAGTGAGGGAGTGGGTGAGTGAGTGAGTGTGAGAGAGAGAGCGAGGGAGAGTGAGTGAGTGACTGAGTGAGTGAGCGAGTGAGTGACTGAGACAGTGTGAGTGACTGGACGAGCCAGAATGTAGCGGGGGTCGCGTCGGGGTTCGAAGTTTGATGTTGCTTGTGGCAGGTCGACCAATGAATTGACGCCTTGCCTCTTGCAGCTTAGCTTTCGGTTTGGGTTCACACAGGCTCGAACAAAACCAAGACTGTACGTGTGTGAGAAGTGCCTAGCATCACATTTTCTGAGGCCATTGCTCCTGCTTTATTGATTCTGGTGGGAAAGCTGCTGACTGACTTGTCACACCAGGCACTGCGTCGCAGAATCCCAGTCACAGACCGCCCAGTTGCCGCGCAGCTTCTCAGTCGCCTGACACTGCCTCGCAGGATTTCGACACCATAGGTCTCATCGGATACGGCGAGTTCGGGAAGGTGTACCAGGCTCGCGGCCGCTCTCGGTTTGAACTTCCGCCTTTGCAGCTAGTCGGCTTCGCGCGCACGACCAGGAAGGGCGGCGCTCGTGGCACTGTGCGGCTTTCGCTGCTGCCATCCGACAAGTCAAGCTAGCGCTCAAAAGTGTTCATGTTCCCGTGGCCTGGTTTCAGCTTGTCCAGCGGCAAGGCAGCTGCTAGGAGGCAGTGTCAGAAATCTGGCGCCGGTGTAAACAGGTATATTAAGAATCCAGCTCGCGAAACAGAGACACCTGCCGCAGAGATTGGTTTTGGGCACTTGCATTTGGTATTGTGAAGCTCTTTGTTTTTTGGTTTGTCTAGCGCGGTTGTTTTTTTGTCACTTTCGTGCTTGTTGAATATGTGGGCCGGGGCCCACAAAGGATACTTCTTGAATGGCATTGCCCTTCCGTTTTCTTGTGCCAGAGGCCTTCTTGGTTGGCCTTACAATCCCCTGCTGAAAGTCTGAGTCTTGCGCTACATATCCAACATATCACGCGCTCATGAGCATATGTATTTTCAACGATGTGGTGTTCAAGACGTACGCATGCCTGTCTTTCTGCAGTACTCGGAGGGAGTTTGCCGGGACACATCCTTTGTAGGCTCTTGAGCGACTCTGGGTTGGAACTAGCTTTCAGCACATAGAACGCTTGCCCATCTCTGGCACGCCTGAACATCCACCAGCTTCTCAACTTGCCCAACGGAGGGGCAGTGCTAGGCTCATGTCAACGGATGCGCAGAAGCAATGCGCGCTGCAGGCAACGCCGTCAGTAGTAAGGCCCGCTGAAAAATCCATGATCTCTAGAAACATCAAACCTCCTCAGAAGCTTACCCCGCCTTGACAACTTCAACTGCCGCAGATGGGTTTACGTGTTTGCGACATTGCTGGCGCATCCCGCGCATGCTTTTTTGCAACTTACTCTCCCTGGTTGAGAACTGCAGCGGGATCCACCAGCTTGAAGGGAGACAGACGCTTAGAGGTGCCAACAGTCCGTAAGCCAGCTGTACTTCCACGCTCTGGCGATGGAAAGCCGTTTTGGGGCGGAGCTGGAAAGACTCCTCTGAACGCGCAATGGTTTAGAGACGCAAGCCATCTTATCCATCTTTAGGAGGCGAATTGCTCAAAAGCATCAGAGCCGTATTTGCTTTGTGCCTCTGACGGGCAGTTTAGTTTTGTTTGCCCGCGTGCGTCGGTGTGGGGCTGCGTCCACACCTTTCAGAACCCAGCTGACCAGCCAAGCCGGCGGCCCCAAATCCGACTTGAGGAAGTCAATGAAGGTTCTTCGCTGCGGCCCCTCACAGCGCAACTCAAAATCAGAGAGATGTATCACGTAACAAATCAAAAACTGTTGGGTTTTTTGAGAGCGTGATAAGCGAGACTGGATAGTCTTGAGGTGAAGGAAGAGCGTGGGCTCAAGATACACAATCTCAGATTCGGGGTGTTTTGCGCATGGTAGTAGAGGGGGGCTTTTACAGACGTGGAGTCCACATGAAATCCTCAGTAGCGTCTCTGCGTTCCGTTAAGCAGCCATGTTTGGTTCGAGAAAAAACCGCTTGCCCCAATTGGGCTGCGTGGCATGCTGCGCAACATCAGGCAAACCAGTTGGATGCTGTAGCGGTTGATCTCACAGGAGAAGGCACAATGGCAAGAAACAGTTCTGCGTACCGCCTCCTTGTGCCAAAGCCCGCAAAATGTTGCGTTTTTAAGAGATCTTGAGGAAAGCTTCGCCGAACAGCCTCAGCAATAAGCTGCAATCCTTGCGGAGACGAAACTCCCATGGCAGGCTCGCGCGTTGCTGTTCAAAACGAAAATGTTGTTCAGCAAGCCCAGGAGTTGCCGAAACTTGGGCGAGGCTCGGGGAAGTGGAAAGGTGTCCAACGTGAAGCGGCGTGAGAGTGCGCGAAATGCGTTCTTAAATCGGGGCGTGCAAGGCTAAGGGTTTTCGTTAGCTGCTGGATCTTGAGCACCAGGCTATCCTGGCGGGTCCTATGCAAGAGAACAGTGTGTGGTCCACAGAACGGCGCACGCACACGTATACGTATATCAAGGCATCTGCGACGCCCCGCGCGAAACCGGGTTTTTCAACACTCAAGGCCTAAGTTCAACAATGCCACGACTTAAGCTCAATGGAAACGAGCCTCAACGGCATCAGACGCAAGGGCCTAGTATGGGAGCCTGGTTGTAGACTGGGATCCTCGAAATGATTTGAAAAAATGAAAAGTGGGCTGGCTTTGCGCCGCGGATTTGCAGGTGAGGGACCGGGTATCGCAGCAGGCCCGGGCGGTGGGTTCCATGAAGTGTCCGTGCTGCGAGTCTGTGTGTGCTGGGCATTGGGTTTGGTCATTCTCTTCACAGTTCACTGGACAAGACTCATGGTTCGAACATGGATTCTATTGTTGTTCCAGTGACATGCGGCTTGTCAAAGCACGTGTGTGTTTGAACTGTGGCGCTTTGGAAATGTTGGCCTACGATTCGTCAAATGACCTTAAATAATGCTAACTGGCTGCCCCAATCCAACAATAACATGACCCTAAATCATGCCGAATCATGCCAACCATTTTTCCCCAGTGAAAAAACATGAAAAGATCAGAGCCCAAGACTGAACTCCTTTAAACAAATCCCGACCCTGAAAATTCTCCCCTAATCTTTATTTCTGGTCATTCCGGGGGGGGGGGGCACTTATTAATCATAGGTCAACATTACAACGCGTAGAATTGTGTTGCGATGTGTTGCAACTGCAATAAAAGAGTTGCGTTTTGCGCCGAGTAACGAATTTCCCCTGTCATCTAAGCGCGATTGGTTTTGAGCAAAGGGCATGCCTGTATGTTCCATGCTTCGCAGATCCAGAAATCCATCTGGAGCTGTAATGCGACCCGAGGCGTCGAGGTTCTTTTACATATTTTTCTCCATGTGGAATAGATGCCGGCGCAACCACATTTTGAGATACGGTTGCATTGTGCGTGATTTGCCGTGTTTCAGTCTCCTTTGCGCTTTTCAACGGCAAAACCGTTGAGGCGAAACCTGTTTTTGCAGAAGCCTTTCCAGAGGGCTGGGGTCAATCACTTCCGTTCAACGCAGAAAAGTGCGGCAAGAGCTGCTTACCCAAACAAACAGAGCATCCAACGACGTACGACATGGCAATCAATGACTGGGATGTCGGCTTGGTTGGAACAAACTGCTGTGAGACCTTTGCCGTGAAGCGCCTGTCCAAAGAGTTTTACGGCCGCAAGCAGATGGCAGACAAGGCAAGAACGCGCGTGATGGTTTTTTAGGAGATGCTGGCTGAGCTGAGCTTGAAATCATGAGGGGTTTTGCTGCTCACACACAGCGCACACGTACAATGTTTGTTGAGCCTGAGCGGGCGATGCAAACTCTCAGCGGGCCAGCGTTGAACGGTCGAAGGCCCCCCGATTGTCAACAGATTTGGTGTGCCGCTTAGCCAGCTCTACTTCAAGCTACAAATGCGCAACACGGTTTCATTCACCGGCGCCAGTCTGAAGCCGAGCCGCCCAGAAAGAACATCCACAAACTGGGGGCGGAGGCGGAGGTATTCCATTGTGTTTCTAGGGGCTAGATAAATGGAGTTGGGGGACTGCCATATCAGGGTATCAGCAATGGTCAATGGTCCGGGCGCAATTGACATTTTTCGTTGCAAACAAGTCTCACCAGACAGGCTTGACCATTTCTTGCGATCAAGACTGGTACCTTGGAAACTGGGGTCATTTTTTGTTGGGCGCTGGTTTAAAGGCAAACCACAATGAAGCCACGCCTTGAAGGGGGTCCCCACTTTGATGCAGACCGGGGGCAATTTGACAAGCTTGCTGGGCCAAACGAACAGAGGAACCCAGTGTAGGGCCGAGAAATATGGGTCGTTCTTCTCTATCGATTTGTCGCTGTGATGCACGGAGATACTACGGTTGTTCTGATGCCTACGTGTCTTGCAAGCGTGATTATTTTCAGGAAGCCGCAACCATCAGAGTCGGCAAGCCTAAATGATGGTTTTCGGTTTGCAGGATTCCTTGCCGTGCAGACTGCACATTGGAATCTCGCTTTTCACGTGTTTGGGATTCCTATCGCTGCTACACAGCTCATTTCGCATTGTGAGTTGGACAATGGCATGGCGCACAGGCTTGCGGGAAACACCACCAGTGATGAACCTGCAAAGGAGAGCTCTCCTGCCTAAGGTGTCAATGTATGCAGGAAATAAGTGTGAGGATCAACGCATGATGATCGTGATGGGTGGCTTTATGATGGGTGGCTTTATGCGGTTCTAGAGACACGCAAGCTTCCTTGTTGCGATCTCGTGTAGGCAAGAAGAGAGATCAGCACCTTGAACTTAGCACAGGACCTGAGCAGATAGGCTGAGCTTGACGACCTGTGACGATGCTATGGGGCGCCCCATTGTTGTTGTTTTAGCGGACGTTTCAAATCTTAGTGAGTGTGGTGAAGGGTGCCCTTCGCAGTTGATCCTTTTTGAGAAGTCAAAGCCATGTCACTGTGCGTGGGGGTCGTTCTAAGTTGCAAGTTTTGAATTATGTAAAGGGTGGTGGAGCGCAACCAAGAAAGGAAAACCCTTGCATCGCGAAGGGCCGGCGAAAGGAGCGCAAAAGGAGTGCAAAGATAACGAGCGCGGACAACGGATGGTTTCTTGCTGTTGGTCACAAGGTAACAGTGTTTCTCGCGTGCGGCGGGCAACTGAGTCCAAATTTGTGGCAACTGAAGCTGGCCTCTCAGGCAAAAACAGATGGCGAAGATACGTAGAAACGCTTGGCTTTTGGTTCGCAGCGCGTCTAACCTCTGTTAGCTCAGCCTTTGTTTTCTTTCACCCACGGAATGCGCATGACTTTTCAGAAGGCAGAAGGGACCACACTACTTTACGCCTGGGGGCGCGTTCTGTTTTCAAGCGCCCTTTTCCCAAGAACTCTTTACTTCCCATGATCGACACTCGATCGGGGGAAGACTGTGCTGTTGGGGTTTGCGTGAGAGTTAGGCAATTAGAGTACCGCGTCTTGTGTCGCGATGGATTATGAGACATGCGGATCTGCTGCGTATGACCTGCCCATCCCTTTACTGACGTCGCGCCTCAATCCATTAGTGTCCTGGTCAGCCTGCGCCATCCGATCGTTTCTAGCCACACCCCTGTCGTGCTATTCGTTTCCCTCATACCCTGATGTGTTCAGGGGAATCAATTTCCCTTGGATCTGTCCTGCTGCGCTGTGCGATCCCCCGGCTTTTCCAGCCATGTTGCAACGGAACTCACACTTGTTTAGAAGAAAATGTTGAGGTACTGTTGCACACAGCCGTCCAAGCAGACAGGAGCATCCCTTCATCGTTCGCTTGATCCACGCGCTGGAAAATCCAAATGAGGCGCGCGAGCTTTGGGCTGATAGGGAGAAGATAATTGCGTGGGTTTAACCACGAAGCAGGAGTAATTATAACACATCTCCAAAACAAGAGCTTCACGAGGCCCTATTTGTTGCCTCACTCAGACCATTCCCATGGCACTTCCAATCATCTTCAACACGAATTGTTCAAGTCTCTATCACTTTTATTTGATGCGAGGGGCCATCTCTTTTCGTCCTTATTTCTGGCTGCCGGATGGCCGGCGAGGCATCAGCTTCAACGGTTGAATTGGACAACATGGCCAGCGCTCTTGTTTCCCTCTCGAGTGCTTGCGCATCTAAACGAGATCGACCACTTAGGTTTAAGTGTCATGCTTACCGTCCGCCAAAGCCGCCCCAACAGGCGAAGCTTGCACCCCCAAGTTGAAAAGGAGCGCACTACCTTCCCCTCTCCTTCCCCCACCTCCCAACTGAAAATTAGGAGCTATTTGTTTGACAAGTCCCTGCTTGAGTTCTGCATTCTTTGGGACGGATTCTTTCCTTTCCTTGGATTGCTGTCGCCCCCACCCTCCCTCTCCCAAGTGCTGATTGATTCAAAGCGTGTCCGTCAGACACGTGTGCCATTTGCCAGTGGGCCATGATCATGGAGTACTGCCCTGGCGGGGACTTGCAGCAAGTGCTGCTGCCGGGGTGCTCAAAGGCTTATGCTTCACCCAGATAGACATGCGCATGAGTATTTGCACCACCGTGTACACTATTATGTAGAGATACTTAGAGACTCGAGTGGCCAAATGTTTTGGTCGAATGGTAGCGTTTCCAAGACAAGCTGGTCAGTCCAAAATACAGCTCAAATACGGGACAAATGCCAGTCATTTGCTGTATGAACTTGTATAACAGGTGTGGAGAGACCATGTCCCTTGCACAGTTTGCCCCGCCATAGAATGACCCCGCATCAATTCCGAGGACGGAGGGCTGTCCAGGCCTCCCGCTACAACGCATCTTGAAGATCTCAGCGGAGGCGAGGATGAAGATGGGAACTGGCCCTGAATGGTGCTCTTGTGGGCTTCAAAGTTATGGATTCAAGGGGCGCCCCTTGTGCTGGAGGGTGGGGCTGTTACCGGGGCTGCTGAAACCTATGGTTTTCAAAATTGGGTGCTTCTTTCGCAGCTGAGCAACCTGAAGATGCATCTTCTTGGCAACAATGCAAAAGACGGACTTGATGGCATTACCTCGTTGGAAAGTTTGAGAGACACACTTCTTGGGCCAGCAAGTCAGGGTGGAAACGGGCCCGTGCGTTTTTAGAAGCACCATAGATGCAAGTCATATCCAGGCACCAGCTTGGCCCACTTCGGCCCTTTGCTCGTCATGGTGCTAGCTTCGCGTTTTCCATCCCCCTTTGTGAGAGCGCAAAAACCAACTGCATGTTGGCTCCTTTTTTGGGAACGCGCAAACAAAGCTTCGCATGTACCCCAACCAAGCCCAACAGAAGCCACACAGCTACCGTGTGCGGAAGCCGCGGAAGCAAAAAACTTGCGCTCAAGCAAAGACGTGTGCCGCGGAAGCCAGCGGAAGATGCGCGGACACCAGTCCCATGTTATGACCTTTTCTCTCCTTTTAGTGTGGTCACCGCTCGCGGCTGCAGGACATGCGGTGCGGTCGCGGCAGCCGCCTAACTGATTGATGTGCCCAGGACAGTCTGACCGCTGGTTTGCGAGGCGGTGGCGCAGGCAGGTTACAGGCAAGTGTTGGCAATGTTTTGTTCGGATCAAACAACTTCAACGATGTACTTTTCAACACTCAGCGCCCTACGGCCAGGAGTCAGCTTTCCTTGAAACTCGGTGTCATCACAGTTGTGGCGCGAACAACCACCCCAGGCCTGAACTACCCACGGCAGTCCAGCTTCTCCGCGGCTGGGCCAATTGAGCGCAGTCACACCTCTTAGGCAGCGTGCCCATGTTTGGAGGACTCCCACACGCCGACGCAATCCCTTAACTGCCTTAAGCGCAAGGCCAAGTAGCTGAAATTCAGGGGGGGTGCGCTTAAGGGTTTTGCTCTTGTGCGGGATATATTTGGAGATGAGCTGGTGTTTTTTAAGCCAAAACACGTTTTAAACCAAAACACCTTTGTCTGGTTCCAAAAAACACTATGCTCACCCCCATGTTCATCTCCGGCAAGGCCAAGCCCCTGAGTTTAAGTTCGATTTGCGACCCCTAAGCTCACACCCCCCCTCCCCCGCCCGGTGGCTGGGAATATTGTGCTCGATTTTTTCGCGGACGCGCTTTGCAGGCGCCCTCATCATGTGGCCACATAACAAGAGCATCAAAGAAGGCAGCTCAGCCTCTTTTGGCCTCATCGGCAGCTAAGAGTCTGCAAAACAAAATGCATCTTCGCAAAGCATATTCCAAGTCTCAGCTTGCAGTTTTCGTCAGACCCAACACAACGTCGAATTCCAGATTCATGTTTTCTATCAAGCCACTTTACTTTGTACTTCTGATTCCAGGTTCTAGCTAGTCTGCTTCTCTGTTTAAAAGTCTGGACCTAGTTATTTTCAATTGGACGGCCGGGTGCCGTTCACTTTGTGGTAATTCTGCAACTTCGCGGGTTCAGTAAAACAACTTGATTGGCTCTTAAAAGGGGCGGGTGCCTTCTGGGGAAACGCTGCTCAAAACATTCCATTTTCCCCAGCGGACCACAACTGTTCTAGTTTTTTTTTTTTTACCTGGTGCCTTTGGGGGAACTCGAGATTCATGTTTGTTCCAATTACTCAAACTAGTGTAAGTGTTCCAGGTATTCCGAAAAGGAGGGAACCTTCTGCAGGATTCAAGATTCATGTCTGCGAATCATTCCGCTTCTCATAACTCTTCCAACATTTGCCATTACTAGTCTAAGTAGTCCCCAGGGGGCCGTTGCAGGCTCAAAATATATGCGGGGAGGGTTACATCCTGTAACAAAACAAGTCATCTGTTTTATTATGGCCCAACCCCTTTTTCCGTTATACTTCATTTAGGCCTCTGTGAACACTTTCAAAGTTTGACATTACCATGAGGCAACCCGTGACTTAGCCAGGAAGTGCCGTTTTCCAAGTCCATTCAAGGCCTGGAAAATGTTGGACTGCGGCAACCACATTCTGGACATGGCATTTTTTGAGGTCTAGCTAGATTCAGTCTGGAGTTGGAACATGTTAATTGTAGGTGGCGGGATGGCGGTCAGAATATCATTCCTTTGGTCGCGCAATGGACTTCGGACCCCTTTTGTTTGGTATTTCGTTGGAAACCAAAAGGAACCCGAAGCCTGCCTGGAACAACCAGCGCGAATCCAATTCGAGTCGCCCGTCTCTTCGGGTTCGGTCAGCTACCCCGACCAAGACCAAAATCCGGACAATGGATCGGATCGGACCATTCGGCGGGATCGGACCTTTTGGATTTCCAAAAAAATCAGGGTGAGCCCAAAATAGCTTTCCGAGTTGAACCCCCTGAGTTGGGCCCCCTTGATTCTATTTTCGCCAAAACACACAGTGGAATATGTTTTGTCCAACTTGGGCTGCTCAAACCGAACCCCCAAAGGGAGGTCAACATGAGTCGCGATTTGTCCGTTTATTTCCGTCAAAGTTGGACTGCTTCATAATTATTTTCCAACAAGGGGGGTTCAACCCTTATCTCGCGTGCCCCGCGTTGCTCAGATTATCCGAACAATTCGTATGAACAATTCCCAAATAAGCAGCTCCCACTTCGTGAGTTTCAGATTCCTTTCCTAATATTTTACTTGGTCCCAAACAGGCGAATGCCTTGTTCGCGAGTTCAACATTCATTCATCAGGCAACAATCATTTCTTACTCCGACAGGAACAGGTGCCTTTGGGAACGTTAAAGCTTCTTTCGCAGATCATGTGACTTGCCAACACTACTCTAAAGATGTTATTTATTTCGAGCGGGCCGGTGGATCTCCAGATTGATGTGTGCTCTAAACGTTCTATCTTTAATTGGTCTTCTTATTCACAAAGGGACGGGTGCTTTTTCGAATCTCCATTCCAGCTTTGTTCTAGGTAGACTACCTAATGCACAGAGGACCGGCGCCTTCTACTTCTGCTTTCCCAACGGGTGCCTTTGGAAGGGTAGTTCATGACCTCTTAAACGCGCCGCGCAGGGGTTTTCACCCACCCACACGCCCGCGTGCGGGGATGTTCGCCCACCCATACGCACGCGCGCGGGGATGTTCACCCACCCGCACGAGCCCGCGCTTGCGGGGATGTTCACCCCGCCGCCGCCATGAAGAGAGAGGCTCACAGAGTGCAAGGGGCAATCAAACACAATTATACAAACCATGCACGCGCGAAACAGTCTGCGAAACAATCAGAAGAGTGAGACATTGCTGTTCTTAACTCGTTCTATTGCTTGTTGCTAGTTGTTGTCTCCAGTCTTTACGCGGCTAGCTCTTCCGTACTCTAGTTAGCAGCCGCGTGGGGTACTTGCTTTTTCCCGAAGGGGCCCCGAATCATTGTTTTAGAGCTGTTCCAGATTAGGAGTTGTAAGTATTTTCGTATCTGCAGTAGTTGGAGCATGTAGGAGAACTTGCAACCAATATAACTGTAGTTGTTTTTCATGCAACTGAAACATATCGTGCTATGTTTTCCTAGTTCTCCTACTCATTGGAATTGTTCTAGTCAGTTGAGCACCTTTAAAGCCAACGGTCACCACACGGTTGTTTCAGTTCATGTAATTCGTGTGTATTCTGAGTGCTTCCGCAGGGACGGGTGCCTTGTGGGGGATTCCACACCCATGTTCTTGAATTCATTCAACTACCCGAACTACTCACATTGTGAATTCTTCTGATCATTCTAGCAATGTTTGGCAAGCGCCCTCCTGTGAATTCCAGTCTCAGGCATTCTTTTTTAAACATGTGCTAGATATGATATAAGTGTTTTGCTGAAAACTGCCAATTGGAGTACTTACAGCAGATACAACCCTGTTTGTGTTGGAAGAATCAAACACACCATCCTATGTTTCCTAATTGTGATACTTTGTCTCATTTTAGCTACCTAAACGAATTAAAAACAAAAGGCCAAGTAAAGCTCGTTCTTTCTCGCAGTATTCTATTTACAATCTGGGTCCACTTTCTTTATTCTTCCGAATGACATTAAAACTGATCTCAACGTTTCTGCTTTTTCTGCTGATTCAGACAGGGACGGGCGCCTTCTGGAAAACCCCCGATTCTTTCTTGTAAATGGTTCCGCTTACTAGTCTTAATGAGAACAACTTGCATACTTAGAAACATAGGGCCATGTTCTCCAGATTATTCTGGATACAAACACTTCGGAAAGGGCTGCTTACTAGTCTTCATGATAACAACTTGCATACTTAGAAACATAGGGCCATGTTCTCCAGATTATTCTGGATACAAACACTTCGGAAAGGGCTGCTTACTAGTCTTAATGAGAACAACTTGCATACTTAGAAACATAGGGCCATGTTCTCCAGTTTATTCTGGATACAAACACTTCGGAAAGGGCAGAGTGCCTTTTTTGAATTTCCAGCTCGACTTCTTCTGTTTGTGCTAGTTCGGATAAGAAGTGTTCTCAAAAGGGCAAGTGCTTCGTTGAGACTTCAAGGTTCATGCTTGCTGCTTATGCTACTTTTCATAACTGTTTACTTTCCCAATGGGCCAGGTGTGTTTGTTCTAAATATACATATATATATATATATTCTGTTGGGCCTACGTATTTTGTTACCGTCGCTACTTCTCAAACTTGGATGGGCGGCCTACTTGCTATGTAGTTGGCGAACTTAAAGGGTTTGCTAAGCCACTTGCATGTTGCCTAACTTGAGTTAGTAAGTCCGCTCAGTCTGACTTCGCGGACTTACAACCTGGCTAAGTCCACTTGGCGAGTTAGAGGACTTAGCTGCTCAGCATCTGCTTAGCTAAGTCCTTTAACTTGCCAAGTGGACTTAGCCAGGTTGTAAGTCCGCCAAGCCAGACTTAAGATTCAAAGGGGGCAGGTGCTTTGCGGGGACCTCAAGATTCA